TTATTCGACGCGTGGTAATTCCACGCATGGGAATTCCACGCGTGGTAATTCTACGCGTGGTGATCCCACGCATGGTAATTCCACGCGTGGTAATTCTACGCGTGGTAATCCTACGCGTGGTGATTCCACGCGTGGTAATTCTACGCGTGGTAATTCTACGCGTGGTAACTCCACGCATGGTAATTCCACGCGTGGTAATTCTACGCGTGGTAATCCCACGCGTGGTAATCCCACGCGTGGTAATCCCACGCGTGGTAATCCCACGCGTGGTAATCCCACGCGTGGTAATCCCACGCGTGGTAATCCCACGCGTGGTAATCCCACGCGTGGTGATTCCACGCGTGGTAATTCTACGCGTGGTAATTCTACGCGTGGTAATTCTACGCGTGGTAATTCTACGCGTGGTAATTCTACGCGTGGTAATTCTACGCGTGGTAATTCTACGCGTGGTAATTCTACGCGTGGTAATTCTACGCGTGGTAATTCTACGCGTGGTAATTCTACGCGTGGTAATTCTACGCGTGGTAATTCTACGCGTGGTAATTCTACGCGTGGTAATTCTACGCGTGGTAATTCTACGCGTGGTAATTCTACGCGTGGTAATTCTACGCGTGGTAATTCTACGCGTGGTAATTCTACGCGTGGTAATTCTACGCGTGGTAATTCTACGCGTGGTAATTCTACGCGTGGTAATTCTACGCGTGGTAATTCTACGCGTGGTAATTCTACGCGTGGTAATCCAAAGCGTGATATTTCTACGCGTGGTAATTCTATGCGTGGTAATGCAACGCGTGGTAGTTCTACGCGTGATAATTCGACGCGTGGTAGTTCTACGCGTGATAATTCGACGCGTAGTAATCCAACGCGTGATAATTCTACGCATGGTAATTCTACTCGTGGTAATCCATCGCGTCGTAATCTAACGCGCAGCAATCAACTGAAATAAAAACTCAATTACGTTCAAAATAGTTACAATCAAAAATCCTTTTAAACCTTCCAAAATTCAAAAAGTTCAAACAGAATTAAAGTGCAGTTTTCCCTCGTCGAAGGATTTCGAATCGCAACGAGCCTGAAGGTTACAAGCGGATGCGCCGTTCGAACATGCATTTCTCTTTGACGCTTTTGACTTTTCCAACAATCAAATCGTGCTCTGGTTCATAAAATATCTCTTATATCGGTGGTTGCACAAAAGAGGGTGGTTTTTACCGTCCATCAAGCTCTTTGCTGCCAAATTGTAGGTAAAGCGTGACTAACCCCAGCATTTTCTTTTTATAGACGAATTTTACTCGTCATCTTGAAATAGGCCGCTGGTGAACACGTGCGCACTATCGTTAGTTTACAGAAAGGAACATTGAGAGAACATTTCAGATAGCGGGTTCTTGGATAATGTCAGAGGTCAGTTTTCTTCGGTGTACAAATGTTCGATAGGCCAGACACTAGTTAACTCTATCAATTTTCATGTAATTGCTTCTGTGGTCTTTATAGGGGAAAGAATGGGTGGTTCGGTGATGTATTGTGCTCTTATATTTGGGGTAGAAAGGGTAATGTAGGTTAGGGCATGGGGTGAATGTAGGTGGATAGGCAATTTATTAATTTGGGGGTTTGAAGTTTGTGGATTTTCTTGCTTATGTAGGTCGAAGTTTGTAAGGGTTTCTGTTCTAAATTTAGGATTAGCAAATTTTTAGATTTTCTATTCGTCAATTCCCACATTCCCCAATTCCCACATTCCCCAATTCCCACATTTTTTCTGTTCTAAATTTAGGATTAGCAAATTTTTAGATTTTCTATTCGTCAATTCCCACATTCCCCAATTCCCACATTTCCCAATTCCCAAATCCCCAAATTTCCAAATCCCCAAATCTCCAAATTCCTAAATCCTCAAATCCCAAATCTCAACTCTCCAAATTTGCAAATAACGAATCTCACCACTTCTCAAATCCTCAAACTTTCCATCTCACAATACTAACATTTATCCCTAAGTATTCTATGGTGGTCAGAGATAACGATATCTCTTAACGTCCCTTTATTTGTCATTTTTGTGAATTTTCTTATTCATCAGCTCTCAGCTTTTATCAGCAACTCCACTGGCATTCAAGGCTCAACTTATGTATTTTACGTCGCAATTATGACTAAGCGCAATTATCTAACTACTATGTATACACTTCCCACCGTAACATTAATTAATTGCAACAACAATATTGCTTACTATTTCCCACAAGTCCTAATTCCCTGACACAACAATGAATTAAAATAACGCGTATCAAACGTATTCACAAGCTACACTTCCAATTACCAATAATCGCCTCTTAAGGACTGTCTGCTGCTATAAGAAAGTAATTACACAAAAAGACGTTTGAAAAAGGTGTTGTGTAAGAGTAAATATGTCTTGTGTGGCTCGTCTTCTTTGTAGAATGAACAGTGGCTTTAGTCTTCAACTTGTGTATTCACAATGCTAAGATCTCGTCTAGTCAAGTGAGTATGCTCGCTACTTTAAATCATTATTGTCATGTACATTCTAAAAGACTTTTCAAGTTTCAGTCAAAGGTTTTTAAGTTTAAATGAGAGCAAAATTGACAGCAATTGTGGTGGAAAATTTCTTGGGTTTACGAGTCTTTTAGGGTACTAGGTTTCTAATGTTTTATAAATCTTTTTGGGGACTCACTTTTGCAGAAATTTTAATTATTAGATTTTTGAATTGATGAATTTCCATATCTTCCAATTCCACATTTCCTAATTCCATATTTCTCAATTCCGCATTCCCCAATTCCACATTTCCCAATTCCACATTTCTCAATTCTACATTCTCCAATTTCCACATTCTCCAATTCCATATTCTCCAATTCCCACATTCTCCAATTCCATATTCCCCAATTCCACATTTCCGAATTCCCACATTCCTCAATTCCCACATTCTCCAATTCCCACATTTCCTAATTCCCACAGTCCCCAATTCCCGCACTCTCCAATTCCCACATTCTCCAATTTCCACATTCCCCAATTCTCACATTCGAATTCCCACATTCCTCAATTCCCACATTCTCCAATTCCCACATTTCCTAATTCCCACAGTCCCCAATTCCCGCACTCTCCAATTCCCACATTCTCCAATTTCCACATTCCCCAATTCTCACATTCTCCAAATCCCACATTCTCCAATTCCACATTTCCGAATTCCCACATTCCCCAATTCCCACATTCCCCAATTCCCACATTCCTCGATTCCCACATT